TACGACAACTAAAGTATCACCGTAAAAGTGTCATGAGTACACTCACCTCTCTTTGTCTAATTTTTTTAGCTAGCGTAGTAGCGCTTAATGTAAGTAAGGGATTCGTTGCAGGTGGTATACTTTGTGACGGTTTCTTGTAGATGAACAAGAAAATCCAGTTTAGTATTCGATATACGACGTTTATGATACTAAATGGCACGCGAATTTTTAACAGCATTGTTCTGTAAGATACACGCTACTTATCTAACACATTACCTGTTATATTAGTCGAATATAAAATTTATAAGTTTATTACAGTTTATTACAGCTGAAAATGATTTTCACCAATAAGCGTAGCTGATTTTGTTTTTTATCTATTATGCATTGGGCAGCAACTGTCAATGTAATAATCACCAATTTTGCGCAAATTTGCCAGTTTTTAGATTTTTAGATTTGGAAACATTATAATCAATATTATATTGCAGATATATTAGTATACACATTATAGATGCTCTTACCAAATAATAAACGCTATATATATAATCAGATAAAAAACAAAACCAGTTGGAGAGTAAAAAATTAACAGTAACTAACAAAAAAGATTCGGCAACCCGATCTTTCTAAAATGTTTGAAAATTTGGAGAAATATAATACATATGAACATTTTTAGCCAAATCAAAAATTTTTTATTTTGTAAAACCGAATAATTTGCAACGTCCTTCATAGAGTTAATATCTGAAGTTGTGTAACAAATTTTATAATTATTATCGTGCCACTTGTTATAGACACTAATATAATAATAGGTGGTTCAATCTTAGTATTGACTTTTCTGTTACAGTGCACATTAACGAAGCTCCGAATATACATACGTAGCAAACACGTTCCTAGACCATCGCATGATTGGTCTACATATTGAATAATAATGCGTCCATGAAAACGTTAGCAAGCAGTCGTGTAGGTTTATTTAAAGTAATAATAATCATATACATAGTAGTTTTTATTAACAAACACTTTTGATGTTATTTATAGACGTGTATTTATAGACGTAACGTTTACAATTTTAAGAGATATGATATTGCAACAATTTAACTTTTTTTAAAGAAATGTTTAATCGCATAGAGCAATCTGATTTGGAAGTAATTAAACATAATAAAAATCTCTGTCAAGAAATGTTTCATTTTTTTTAAACTTATTTTTGTAGAGATTTATTTTGCGCTTAATTCCTCATAAGCGATGTTTTCCATTTATTTTTCAATAGCTCAGACAATATAGTAAATAGTTCTTTCTCCCAATAGTTTTGCGACGATATTTTCTGCAGTTGATTAAATGTTCGTGTAAGCCGAATCAGAGAAAATTGCTCTTTGGTCAAGTATGCACGGTCAATATTAGTTTTATATGTACAGCGAAAATATCTTAAACTGGACATACATAAGGCTACGCATTTTTTTAATAATTCAATTCTTCTGCGAAACAGCATGTAGCGTACATTTATCATCACCGATTACAGAAGTGAAATTTTGTACGAGATTCATTCAAGCTGATTTGATAGAAGAATTGAAGGTCATCAAAAAATTATCTTTAGCATGAACTCATACGTGTAAAAAATGTAATAAAAAATACAGATTTTAATATTTAATATTAACAGTATAATTTATGCATTTGCAAATATATTTGCACTTATTATTTAAAAATCGTTGTTAATAACGTCTTCTTAATTGTCATATACTTATTTTGTAATGCATGTAATACACAATTAGATGATAAAACTTGTACGTATATAAATGTTATCTATTTAAAAGTATAAGTTTTGTTATCTATTTACAGAAACGATACGATAGCCTACATAATGTCTTAGCTTTTGTACATTTGGCATTTTGATGAACCGTTTGGTAATTTCTTTGTATTTTTTGTGCAAAATAAGTTTTTTTTTATCTGTGACGTAGTAAAGAAAAATTGCTATTATTTCATAAAATAGTAAAATTTCTAGAATAAAAGATTGTTTTATAATTTTGAAAGTCGTTACATACTGTTTAAGCAGCGATGTCAATTTTGATGAGCAGCAGATCTTACTAGCAGCAATTCTTATTTTTTCGGTCCCAGAAAACTCTTGAGAAGAGTAGAAAAATGCCTGTAAAATTGCTTTCGAGTGTCTCTGAATCTATTTGATGATGATATTTTTCTTTCTTTATGCAACTAAAAAATCGTATACTCGTAAACACACGAATTTGCAAACGCGCGCCGATCCGATGATCTGACTGATTACCGAGCAATTTGTACAATGAGTTTTTCAAGTCGCACTTCGACTATATGTCATCGACGCGTGATAAAGCAAACTAAATACAAGAATGTACGCATGAGGTTTTAGCATATATTGTACTCGGTGGGGAGTGCTCTCGTGTGCTCTGTGTGAACGAGCAATCATTAATAACTATGTGAAAATACATAAGAAAATACATAGTGACGTAAATCAAATGATTGATTTACGGGAAAGAACTTTTATTCAATACATTACAACGCATAATAATGATTGCGTTTTTCCATGCTTATTAGCTATGTAATAATCATTAACCGAAGTCTCAAAACGAAACTTGATTTTTTAAATTATTCCTAAGATTGAATAGAACTGAATTAATTGATCTCAATTGAATAATTGAGACTTTGAAAATAAATAATTATTTTTGGGCACAAATTTTTTATTCTATTTATTAATTCAAAATATTAAATTAGATTTCAATGTGATTAAAATAGTGTTTCACATTGATATTGATTCAAGAAATGTTTGAAATGTTTAAATAATAATTTGTAATTGGATTATACTATAAATAGAAGTGATTTCAATTAGAAAAATATTTACTTATTAAATATTAGCTTACAATTACATGTTTTAAATAAATTTTTATATGTTATTTTTGGCATCTACTTTAAGTAAGATAAGATAATAATTCTTAGCGTGCAATCATGTTGAATAACAAGCTGTTTTGAAATGTCGAGATATTTTGATAAGAATACGAATTATTTGTACTTTTGACAGCGCAACATTTTTAGATTATTTTCATATTTATGAAAAAATTGACGCCAATAAAAATTAATAAAATATTTGATGCAAAAAAACTTGGCGCGTTGCTACACTGAATCACTCGTTAACTAACATAATGTCTTATGGTTAATATTATCTATGACAATTTGTTTATTGTGTATATAATCACATATAATTAGCATTAAAACGGCATTAATTAAAATTTTTAAAGTTTTAATATTTTATTTTTACTTAAATTTTTATTTCTAATGTCTACAAAACCGCACACTCTTAATTAATTAGTTACTTGGGACTTATAAGACAATTAGTATTATTAACGTTTTTATTCATCTTTTTTAAAAGTTTACTGTACTTTAAAATTTTTACGTTAATTAATCTTTTCTTTTAAAAATATAAATATGCTATAAAAATATTAACGTGTATGTGAATATGAAAACTAATCAACATAAATTATTTAAAATTATATATTAAATATAATAATTTAATAGTTTATTTAAATTGTTTAATAATATTTTAATAATAAAAATGGTTAAAAAATATTTAATGATCGCAACAAGCGTATTATTATCGTTTAGTTCGGTGCATTTCAATTTTACAGCATTTGATAAAATCACATTTGATTTTATCTACATTCACATATGAAATAATACTGTGATGTCCCGACAATGGTAAAATTCAAAAAACAGAACATTATTAAAGAGATCTGTACAAGTCCATCTAAAATTCATCCAAAGAGCAAGATTGAAGTTATGATTAGTGTTAACTGTATTATTAGTTTATAAAAAAATTAATTATACTATAGCTATAAGAATACTGCATAATTGAACAATGCATTGAACAAATAAGTGAAGAGATAAGAATAAAATAAGCAAAGGTTACCAGACACCCATCTTATCCGTCGGCTATCTTCTATAAACGAAAACGAGCTGCATATCAACTTCCAGCCAAACGATATTCCAACGTATCAAGAAGCCAATGTGACGATTAAAAATCTATGCGATACTCTCGAGGGCCTACTCCCCACCACAAGAGGACCAACGTACATCATCGCTCGTGAGACAGTTCTCTTCCAGCAGACTCACTGTTAGGTCATATTAAGTTCTACATACTATTTTTCTCTGCATTGTTCAGTTGAAAACACTGAGTTATTTGGTTTATATTTAGCAGTGTAATATCTGCATTATTAAGACGTATCTATAAGGCTTTGTTCCTAATTAAAATTAGGTAAGCTAATTTAATCTATTTTATTAAATTTTATTCATATCCTTTTCATACAATAGATTGTTACCTCCTGTATCCCTAGTAAACCCGGTGAATGCAGGGTGACTAAAAAATAAGGAGACATTTCATATTTCGCGCTAATAGTCGATATTACAGAATTCTCTACACACGTCTAGTGACCAGACGTAACAATACACATCATTTACTTTTCATACAACAGTGTTGACATACCTACGTAACAGAACAGTATGCTTAATTAGCTGCTATGAAAAGGGAGTAAAAAAGGAGTTAATAATTTACATTCTTATTGTTTAAACAAGCCGCTTTCAATATAAAAGAAGAAACAAGGTAATATACATCTTACATTTTATTCAAAATTATTTTTATCGGTTAAAATAAAATACCAAATTTATGTGAGTTGAATTAATTTTAATATTTTTTCTACTACTTTCTTATCACAGAGACATTTGTACTTTGCAGATTTTTTTAATCTTGAGAAAAACATATTGAAGTAAGTAATATTTTTTAATAATTTTTTAGATTGTGAATAGACATAGTAGAAGTGTACAGAAATTATATATTTGTCAAAAATAATACAATTTTTCAAGTAAAAATTACAGTATATGACATTGTCTGATCGAATAAAATCTATAACTACACTTTTCAGAAGGATTATTTTTGTATTAAGTCACACAACACTTGGATACTTTAAAGCAAAGCATCCTACCTATTTCAATTTTGGATTGCATTAGTATGCACATAAAAGAAGGAAATTTGTAAAGAAAGAAATAAAAATAATAATTGTAAAAAAATCTTGGTACGATTTTTTGACAATCGGTTTTATGAATCTTTTTAAACTAATAATTATCGTGTAAGCGAAACATTTCACATATACAAAGTAAATTCATAATTCAAAGTGTTAGATAAGTTATGTCAAAGCTTTTGAACGATCGTTAAATATGCATTTATTGATTGTGCGGAAAACAAAACGGTGAGATGACTATTATTTATAAAATGGATAAGTCTTGAAACATTTACAATCTGAAAAAAAACTGTACAATCTAAAAAATAATTATAGATAATTTTTATTTAATAATTATCCAACTATTATTTTCTGAGCGTAACCAATGTCTACTGCAAAATAATTGCTAGTACATTAACAAATTTTCTTACACTCAAAAATCAGAGTTTTCAAAAACACAAAACACAAGTACAAAAGTACATGTGCTTGTAAGAGATTACGGAAACAACTTGTTATAGCTTTAGACTTATGTTAGCTGTCATTATAGATTTCACTCTTCACTTTTTTTAACAAAGTGAAATTGTAACTATATCTGTTATTTATAAAATAAATTAAGAACGATTAACAGTTTGTTATGCGCATGCCGCTGCCGACGGCGGTACCCAGCCGCCGAAAGCACTTTTCTAGTTCTTTTGCAACCGCCAAGCAAAAG